TAGATATGGGTATTAAATATGATTCCGTGGGTACATTTCTTAATATTTGTTATGTTAGTAAGTGTACACTGTTTGGTATAGGTCATCTATTCTGGGTTCTACTTTAATTAATTTTACTTTCAGTGCCAGTAAGTCGTCATCTAGTGTTTACACAGTTACGCTATAAATCTGAACATGGTTACATCTGGTGAATGTAACATTTTATTTTCAACAGTTAACATAAAAAATGAATTTAAATAAATAAAAAAACAAAAACACAAGGCATTCAATTACACAATAAAGAGTCCTGTAAATTGTTTATGCCCACTTTTCCTCACCTCACTTCATGTCTAAAGCAAGGGTGTAACTTTGCGTTCCAAGTTGGTGGAGATGAGGAGGAGCCAGGGGGTCGCTGAGGCACCCACAGTTACTGGAAGGCCTTTTCTTTTTCTTTGGAGCTAAGAATAATGCCAAAACTTAAACGTGAATGCCTTTCAGTCTTATTCAAAAAATTAGGATATACGTCCTGATCAGGCTTGTCAGATTAATATTACCTTTCAAAAATAACCTCTTAGCAGGTATTAAACATATTACTTCATATAAATATGTTAAAACAAAAGTAATCTAATTAATCTATATAATGTATTTCACTTGGTGATGGAATTAGTAACAAAGTGACTTTTCAGTCATGCTCTTAATTTATGGAATATTTGCTGAATGCTTGCCTACAGTTAAAAAGCAGCTTCACAATTCAGTAATATTTGTTGTGAAGAATTATCAGTTGCCTTTTATTGTCTGATTTTATCAAGTGCTATAAACCTCAACAACATGAGATTCTGTAACAATCAAAATGTTAATAAACCTTTCCAAAAAAGAATAAATAGCTTCTGTGTAAACCAAATAAATCCTTGACTATGGATGTATTGTTTATAAGTCAGCTGCAAATTTCTTTCTTATTAGATTTAGACAGAATCCAAGCTAAAGCGCTTAGGATATGTTGTGGTGCTTTTCGAACCTCTCCAATTCCTACTCTGCAGGTGATTACAGGAGAAATGCCACTGGACTTAAGGCGGATGAAACTGTCAGCGAAGTATTGATTAAATTTACAAGGGCGTGAGGAAAATCAGTCTACCGCACAGGTATTCAGAGAATGTCGGGAATATGGTCATAACGATAGGAGTTTTGGATGGGAAGGGAATGTCTATGTAGATCATTTGGAGATAAATAATATAGCATGCTGTAAAACTGTAATTAAATCTAAAATTGCTCCATGGTTATTTGAAATGCCAATAGTAAATTTAGAAACAAAAAAAAAATAGAACAGTCCTGTGGAGGTTTTTATCCAATTATTCAGCAGTATTTAGAAATAATGTATGAAAACATGACACAAATATATACAGATGCATCAAAAGAGGAAAATGGTAAAACAGGAGTAGCAGTATATATTCCTAAACAAAAAATTTACGAAATAGAGCAAACCTGAAGGGTTGTGAATATTCAAAGCTTGTGTGTTTCCAGGCTAAGTTTAGTGATTACATATCATAGGTGAGCAGTAGGGTGTCACAGCAAACAAAGCATTACTTTAGAGTTACCTGTGGCAACATTTAACAAACACGATTAAATAGCTCATTCATTCCCTGTGACTGACAGACAGATTCAGAAGCAGTCTTAAATAAGGAGCAAGGGACACAAAATGCTCACTGTGTTTTCTACCCCAACCTGTTGAGGAAGAAATACTTTTTATTGATTTAATTGACATATTGTGCTGAAACAGAAATCTGCAAGAATTTTTTTGAGAGGCAAAATTTTTCTTCATTTCATTAGTGCTGTGATTTACGAGATTCACGAAGCTGGAAGAAAACATGTGTGGATTCAGATGGCTTAGATCAAAGGCACTGTAGTCTTGAAGCTTATAAAATGATTTTTAAAAAATCATCTTATGATGTGATTTATCAACCAGAGTCGTCATTCATTTGTTCACCGTTACACATGATCATTAGGTCACTGGGGTATTCTCCCAGTTTGTACTAGAAAGGCAGGTAGCCGGGAGGCTGAATGTCCCTCTTGCCGTAGGAGTCCGGGCCCACGTCTCCTTTTCCTTTGCCTTTATGGCCCATCAAATCTGCTAAACTATTGGCCAAACAGGTAGTTGTGTGGCACACTGGCTTTTTACTGAAACAGATTAAAACGTGACGTTAAAAAAAAACAAAAAAGGACATGTTTTTACACGGTAAAAACACGTGTTCACAAGCGCGTACCTGTTTGGTGCTGCGAGCCTCCTCTGCAGCCGCGCGCCCGTGAGGCCTTCCTTGGCTGGAAGAGCATTTTCTTCCTCGTCGTCGGAGGAGCCGGGACTGAAGTTCCTGGATTAAAGATGGAAAAGGGTCAAAGCATTTCACGCTGACGATACCCTCTTTAAACTAGCTGCTAGTCCAGAGAGACCGAGTGAGAACCAGCCATCCTAGGTTTGCACAATAGTCACATGTCCAAAATTTTACTGCTAACTTTGTTTAAAAGTTAGCTAGTCTAGTCGCAATGATTTAGAATGAGACTGAAACAGCAGCGAAATGAAACTTTTTATTATTTAAAGTGAGCAACATCTGATCATACTCGACCACTTAACATGTATTTATATTAAATTATATTATATTATTTAGATATTTAGGAGAACAGCAGTGCTCGAATGATGCTGAAGACAAATGAAGAAGCTCTGGTGAGATCTTCATTTAGTTTATTGAAATATGTATTAGCTGTTTTTAATTTTTTTATATAAACTAAACTATTTTATTATGAGTGCTTGAGGAGAGGTTTAAAAATAAATTTGTGAACATTTTTGCCACACAGTAAATAGAGTTGAGATGTATAATAATGTATACATCTAAAAATTAAGTTGCTTAAATTCTCGTTCTGTATGATAAAAATATACTTTTTATCTTTAGTTCACATTCTGACACTGTACATTACTGTAGTGTCTGTTGTAAATCCATGAATCCGTGCAGGAACATCAGGCTGCAGAGAGTCAGAGGGAGGCAGAGACAGAAACACATAACTGTAGATATTTTAGTTAAATGTTTGCGGCTGAAAATGACAGGGAAAACAAACATTATATTGTTTGTTTTCATCCTGGAATGACGGTCATTATACTATGCATAACTTTAATCTGATTATTGGATTGTTGTAGTCAAGCCCTTGGTCTTCTTGACTACAACACTGCTCCTGTGTGTTGGAGGCCGTTTGGTTGGAAATCTGAAAATAAAGGAAATATAGCGAATTGCCATTGGTGGCGCTGTTGCTGTGTACAATAGATGTGAGCTGGCCCTGTAAAGAAGAAGACGAGGTTCCCCATCGGGAAAATAAACGTTGCCATGTGTTGCTACCAGTTATCTGCTAGAATATTATTTTATCTAGGTTCATGTTTGAATGGATTTGATCAGTAAAGCTAAGTTACAGAACAGCTGTCCACTTCGTAGATTCTCCAGCTCATTTCCTGCTGCTCACCTGTGGCTTGGAGCGGCTGCGATGCAGCGGAGCAACACAAGAACCACCAGGAGAAACACAGGCACTCTCAGGTGATACATGGTGATTCTGATGCTGATGACCTCCTGGAGAAACACAAAGGGTTTCATCAACGTTAGACTTTGTTTTCTCCAGTTCTCTACAGTTGGGGTGAGGGCCACCACTTATTAAAAAGATGCATGAAAAATTAAATCTGGTCCTTTAACATTGCATCATCTGCCTGTATTGTTTTATTTGATGCTACTTGAAATGATCTAAAATGTATAATTACTTTTTCATCAACTCACAACATAAATCTTTATAGAAATGTTTTTGGTTTTTTTTGCATAGTATGACATGAAAATTGGTAAAGAGAAATATCTATTAAACAAAACAGGTAAAACGCAATAAAAAAACTGATTTCAATATGAAGTTAAAAATAATAGAAGCTGAGATCAGTCATTTCTCATAAGTGTTTAATTATTAATACTGAATCAATAAATATCCAAAGGATTTGATGAGTGAATTCTCTTTTAATCTCAAAATATTAGTGGAAACATTCAAATGTGTGTTTGTCATAATTTATGAAAAAGTATTATAGCTTCACATGAAACTGATTTATATTTTTGATAGAATAAAAAAAGAAAGGCACATAGGAACTGGCAGGTACTCACTGGGTGTAACGTTTCGTCCTCGTCTGTCTGTTGAGCAGTCTGATGGTTTGTCAGGCTATCACAGTTTATAAGCTCTCTGCTCAAACCACTTGTGACATCAGCTCTTTCCAAATATAGCCAAGAAATTTTATTTTCACGCACAGTTGGGGGGGGGCAGGAGGGACTCTGATACGTTCAGATTTGTTTTCGGACAGCCACTCCACATGCACACACATA